GTTTTAAGCTTCTAGAAGAATGTGATTCTGGTGCTTGTTTCCGTAATCACATTTGGCATTCTTCTTTAAAATCCTCATCATTTAGTAAGCTTTTCAACTTTGAATGTTTTCCTTGACGATAAGGAAGAAGTTCTCCCATTTTTATAAAATGGATTCCCCATTTTTGAATATAATATGCCATATAATCGCCTTTATTCCATATGGTTTGTGCGATATTATTACTGGCTTCCATCTTTTTTTGTCCATTTAATAATAGTTGAATGAACCTACGTATGCTTAAGCGGCATAAATAGTCATAGGTATAGAGTTTCTCATTTTCTTTTGCAGATTTTAATAATAAACATTATTGATTTATTTCTTCTAAGCGGATATGTAAGTTATTAGATAGAAATAAAGATGGTTGTGATGGTTATGACATAAGTGAAGAACTTTTTAAAGATGAAGATGAAGATAATTGTGATGAAGATGATTGTTCAGAATTTCTAAAAAAGGTATCAATTGTTCTCATTTCCTTTGCATTTTCTTTTAACTTCTCTTTTTTTTTTTCTTTTCTCCAGGTTGTAGTCCTTGAATTTCTGGTATATACTGCTCTGATACTATGATTAGCATCTTCATACCAATGAAGAGTTTCGGTGATAAGTTTTTTTTTTACATCTTTAAACTCTTTTAAATCTTCTTCTGTCCAATAATCAACAAAATCATCAATCAATTCAATAATCTCACTTTCTGAAGTATCTCTTTCAATAGTAAGTTGATCCTGAGATAGATAGCGTCCTTTTTTTCTAGGTATTTATCTAACTTGCCATTGCCTTTTTGTTTTACGTAACATCTCAAAAGTGTAATCAAATTTTAAAAAGAAGGTCAAAATAAATAAATAAATAAATAAATAAGTCAAAAAAAAATCAAATCAAAAAAATACCCGAGTCTAATTAATTATGATAATTTGGGCCAGCATTAAATTATTATAATGTTGGCCCAAATTATAAAATCCTTGACCAATAGAATTTCGTGCACGTGATTTGATTTTGTTTCAAATTTGGTCAATCATATAAAAATCACCTGACTTTAAATGCTTATAACTTTTTATGTAATTATTATTTTGAAAATTTAGCCAGTAATTTAATAATACTTATCATGAAGAATAAAGTTACTGGTTTATTTTTGAGTATAGATTTCCAGCACTATACCAAGAATTACACTATTTGATATAGCTATTTTAGCCTTATTTTAATTTCAAATCATATATCAAAAAAATTTTACTATTTTGTTTACTACTGGAGGGATCATCAAAAATCAAGAAACAAAATGACATGATTTGAGCTGAGCCTAACATTGCAAACCCAATATGAATTATAACTTTTATGCTATTCTGCTTGTCTCTAGAGAGAAGCATTGAAAATTAAAGAATAAAGTGATACTATTTGAGTTGTGCTTGACTATGCAAGCCTAAAATGCATATCATATGCTAAGTCTAAAAGGTTACATTTAGCTGTTATTTAATTTGCAAATCAAAAGCTTAATGATTATATTCTAACATATTATCAATTTATTGATATACAGAAACCTATTCTAAAACTATTTCATATATATAATCCTAAGACAAAAAATCACACCTTTTAACTACTTATATGTTAAATCTAATTGCATTTTTTTCTCATATGCATTCAAAAAAAAAAGCTATTTGGATAAATTAATAGGATAAACAATCAAGTAAGCAAACAGTGTTAGCTATCTCCCACAGTACTAAAGATACAAGGGAAGGTCTAACCTTTTGAATATATATCAAATATCAGGACCTTATCCCAAAGTCTATTAACATATTAAATTATATAATAGCCTTAGTATGAAAATGACAATGACCATAAGATGACCTAGTAGGCTTACCACATCTTGATTCTATGTAAAGCTGACGTTTTTTAACCCTATTTCTCATAACTTCAAAAAAATAGAAAAAAAAAGTAATTGAATATTAGGGTTATATAATTAATTATTTTAAATTGAGCAAACATTTACATATATATTAGAGGTTAGACTTATTATAGTATTATGGTTAGAAAAGATAAAAAAAATCGTAAATGTATTTGCTGTAATAAGACTTTGCTACATCTCAAAAATTTCGTCAGTATTACAAAAGTAATAAAAATCAATGTAAATTAATTCCTGATAATATACCAAAGCAAGCTTCAACTTTTAAGATTTTTAGTCAAAAGGAGAAACCAAAAGTGATTAACCAAACTTCTGATTCTGAAGCAAGTTCAGGTCCATTAACTCAAGCATATAGAGAAGGAGCACAAGAACCTAATGTGGTTGAGCGACAATATGCCCAGGAGAAAGATTCCAAATCTGGACCTGATCCCTCAACTCAAGCTAATAGACAAGAATATAAAATACAAAAGAAATATGCTAAGAGAAAACATTTCTGATCAGTTTATGAAGAATAGAAGGAATTTATAAAAAAGAGGAACCACCTAATAATGATATAGTATTTTTGAAAAGAGAGCGTGATCCTGAAAGATAATGCAGCTCTCTTAATTATATGTCTATATGGGAGGGGATTATTCCTTTAAAAATCCAGCATATGCATTCAATAAAAAGCAAGACAATTCAAAAGAATATACAGATGCATCATATATGCCCTACCTTATGGCATTAGTACGTGATGCAATTACAGATATTCTTAAAGAAGAACTTCATAGAAGGAATCAAATAAAATCAGCATTAGTTATAAATGCTACATATATATCTTATAAATATAATGGATCAGGTAATCCTTTAGATCAGGTAAACTATACTATCAAATATCATTATTCATATTATAGAAGCCATCAACGTGAAATTCTTTCTAAACAATATATAGATAAGTATATAACCCAATCTGATGTAGAAATCAATCAAAAGATCGAGAGATATTTGAAAAAAGAATCAGGTAAAATCCTTCTCTAAGTAGAAATGATACTTATAGAGACATATACATTTCGTCGAGCTTTTAGAGGATCTTATATCTTTATACCAAAAAAGCTTGCTAATAAAAAATGTACTATTAATTCAGATAATTATATGCTTATAGATCCAGAAATAAATAGACAATCTGAAAAGTGTCTTCAAGGTGCATTAGATACCTACTTCACTTATTATCAGGATAAAAAAAACAGAACATCTTGAACGAATTTTCAGAGCTAAGAAACTTAAGCCATATTTAGATGTTTTCAAGCTAGATAAAATCCTAATGCCTACTCTAATTTGTTCACGAACCTTTTAAAAAATTGAGAAGATGAATTTAGATATCTTCATAAATATCTGGAAATGAGAAGAAACAGGTACTCCTAAACTCATTCTTTATAGTAAAAACTATAACAGATAACATATTATCTATCTTATGATCTTTACAGATATTACAAAATCTGAGGAAAGAAAATATGAGCAAAAGAATCACTTCCTTTGAATCAAGAATCCAGATGGATTAGTATATAAAGATAATGCTAATAAAGTTAAAAAGCATCTCTGCAACCAATGCTTTCAAAGCTTTCAATCAGTAAAATTATTAGATTATTATCAGCAATGGTGTTTCAGATTAGGTTAAGCCTTACAGAGAGTCAATATGTCTATAAAAGATATTAATAATTTTGAAGAGTTTAGGAACTATGGTCATCAGATAAATGCTTCATGTGTTATTTATTCTAGCAGATTTCAAAAGAAGTGTGATACACATTATATTGAAAATATGTGAAATATAACAGAGGAAGAAGCTAATAGTTTTAGCTACAAAGTTTACTGGATTGATACTGAAGAAACATAGGACCACTTCTTATATCATAGAGAAAATGCCACAGAAGAATTCGTTCGAAGGATTGATTAAGAATTAGTAGAAATAAATAAGGTCTTAGTTGTTAAGCATGAGAGTATTATTACAAATGACTATTAAAGAAGGTTTAAAAAGGTAGATAGGTGCTGAATCTATGAAGTATAGATACAGATATGATTAATAGATTAGAAAGAAAGATTATAAATCTCACTAACAAGCTTACAGAAATTGTTTAAGATCCTAAATCATATAATAAGATAGCTTCGCCTAGAGATATATCAAGAAAAATCTTTAAAATGAAAAAGAATATCGAATCAGAAAAGGATCTCAAAAATTTCTATATAGAATTGCTAAAGGCTATTAAAAATCCTGAAGACTATAAATTATTAAAATTGGTAATCTCTAAAGCACAAGCTGAACTTTTTAGGAAAGAATCTAGAGATAAAAAGGTTTGGAATCACTGTCATATCACAGGTAAATTCTGAGATGCGTCTCATAATAATTGTAATCTCAAACTTTAGATTGAGCCATGAAAGATACCAACTCTATGTTTGTCAGGCTCATAAAGTAATTCTTTCATTATATAATTCAGATAATTAGTAATTACAGTCAACTCTTGATATAGCAAACTCTTGATATAACGAATTTTTTGAACAAATATAATAAAAATACTCTTGTTATAGCGAATTGGCCAATCAAATCTCTTAAAATCTTCACTATAGCCTTATAGTGAAGTTGAGATCTAAGACATAGAGTTCGTTATAACAAGAGTTGACTGTAATGACATTTTGTTTGGTTGACTTTTTAATTTTAAGTAATGATCTCAACCCTTCTAAAATTATAAATCCTAGATTTTCCCCTGAATTATTTTCTGATAAGTATGCCATTGAGGATTTAATAGCACTGTCTTGTAGATCGTTGATTGATTGCTTTATTATTCTCCTAAATTTAGATTCACATTTTGCATCTAATTCTCGTTTATTTGTTGAAAAGAGTATTTTATATATTTTGTCTAATAAGTTTTGGGAACTAAAGGCATTGATCATCATTTCGAAATGAGAATTTGGAGAAAGTATAAAGATTGAAGTCAAAGCTAAAATTTTATGGACATTTGTCTCAACATATAAACCACAGGTATTGGCAAGTTTGATTGATTCGTTTTGATATTGTCGAATTAATTCTAATATATTAAATTCTTCTATAAAATAATCATCTTCAAGATCCCATTATCTAAAGATAATTGAGAAACATCCTTTATAATTGTAATTTTTTCATCTTCATCATTGTCATCATTATCATCATTTTCATCATTTTTATCATTAAAAACTGAATCAATTGCTAGCGAAGATAATTTTTCTATTTCAGATGAAGATGGCGAGTACATTGATTCATAATCTGACCTAAACTGAATTAAAAAATTCCAACCAATGTAAACACATGAACTAATGTAAAAAACACTGCTAAAATTGTGTCTACTATTTTTGTAGGTAGTATAATTGGTGTTGATGTCATGTCATCCTCGTCTTTTCGCTATTTCTCTGTAGAAGCTTCTATTAATTTATCATATACCTCATTTTCTCGTTGCACTTTAGCAACGTCAGCATCACCAATTGAGACATGTTTGCTTCGAACTTGCTCAAGTATCTTGTAATCATATTCCTTAATGACGTGACGTTTTTCACGTTCTACTATTGAATCCTAAAATGTAACAATTTCGTTAGACTGACATGATGTGTTATCAACATATTGAGTTATTCACAATTTGTAAAGAGCTAATAAGTGAATTAGGAAATATAACTTACAGATAGTTCTTTCAACAACTTTTTTGCGTGATCTCTAGTGAATTGTGGTAGATCTTGGTCTATGCTCAATGAATTCAGGTGTTTCGTGTAATTTTTGTAGATCGATCTCTGTTCGGCACTTGTTAGTTTCTGTTATGAATCGAGCTTGTACAGAAACGTGATGAATGTGCAGATTGTGAATGGAGCTGATGAAAAATATTTGTGCATCTTTTTGAAAAGAGGAATCTTGAACTAGATGGGTAGAGTTAACTTTTTCTAGTCAATGGGTTAATCACAATAATAGTAAATACTTACTGTCTTTGGGTCTATAATCTCTGGATCCATATTGCTGAATTACAGGTTTAGTGTAAAAGAGCAATGCGTATCAGATATCATGTAACAATCGGGTAGCTTTGAATTTCGATTATATATGATTTTGATGTATTATAGCCACTAAATTTTACCTAGAACATTCTTTCATAGTTATATAAAATGAGATCTCTTTATTCCACCAAGTTTTATTAGGAAGAATTTTTAATTCAGCTAATCAGAATTCTTATTGATTAACCAATAAAAAAATTAATCTTTCATTACGCTATTTACGACTGACCCTTATCAGATTTTTTTTCCGAATAATCAGAAATTACAGGAAATCGAACTTTTTTTAAAGGAGCATAAAACTGGTTGTTTACAACACTCACGACCTCTCGTTTTCATTTGGAAACGCTCTCGTGTGTGCAATCCTTCTCCTCTTAGAGAAGCTGGTTGGTAGCGCCTCTTCTTTGAAAGTATGGAGCTGGTTGTTTACAATACTCATGACCTCTCGTTTCCATTTAGAGATGCCCTCATGTGTGCAATTCTTCTCCTCTTGAAGAAGCTAGTTGGTAACTTCAGGCCCTCCCATAGTTCTAACTTCCCCAAGATTGGTTTAACATTTCAAAAGTTATTGTACAAAGTTATACTTTTTATTTTCTTTATTAAGTTTCTGATCAATAGATTATATATATATTTTTAAGATAATAGGACTTTTGGTTTTGTTGTGAAATAATTTCAGACCCTATAGTATCAGAGAATAGAAATAAGTACATGTCTATAATTTTTGATAAAAAATAATCAATACCACCTTACCATTATATTTAATTTTTGTAGCATTCCACTCTGCCAAATATTCGAAGAAATTGCGTTTTTACATATTGCCAGAAAATTTATTTGATTTACTGTGCCAGATATTTGAATAGGGCATATGATAAGCATTAGTGAAGCTACAATTTTTACTGCGTTAATTTGACATGTACCAGTGATCACGATTTTCTCGGCAAAGATCAAAGTGCTGATATATAAGAAGAGTAATATATTCAGTTTGTTTTAGAATATCTGTAAAAGTGGAAAAATCAATTAACATCATGTTGATATATTTCAAGAAGCTAGCTGAGCAATAAACTAACTTACTTTATTATGACTTTGTGGAAAATGCAAGTTCGTTTAACTGTTAATATCAATGATTTTAACAATGGTAAGCTTGATTGATTTGAATTTTTTTGCTTGATTTTATTTTACTTGCATGAGGTAGATAAAAGGATTCACTAGCTGAGACATCATCTTTTTATACAATTTGCAGGATTGATCTTGGAATACGCTTTTGGAAAAAATTATGTTAATATGAACACATCATGAAAATCTGATCAACGGCTTCTCCTTAATTTAACAATAAAGAATTTAATGCTATCCATAATCCATATGTAAAAATCATAATAAATTATTTTGCGCAATTACTTGTTCCTGTGATACATATAATAATTACTATGATATTACTGCATATTTATTTATCAAGCTACAATATACTTGATCGAAAAAATAATAGTACACATTTTGCTTCATACAATCCCGTCATTCATTCCATGTGAAAAAATTATAAAATATCTAGTAAATTTGCTTAATTACTTGAGAACATTCACATCGCTTATAAATTCCTTTCATCACCTTTTTACACCTTTTGCAATACAGATGTGAGTAATGATCATATTCCTCATAAACCTTACATCCATGCTTCTATCCCTTAAATATATGCCATTTTTCAAAGTAGTTCTACCCCTCCCTTGAACTATCAATCTGTGAGAGATGACTTACCCTAATAGCTTTTCTTGATAACATATCTTCTTTTTTTCAAATGTATATGAGAAAAAAAAACTTAATAAATTCAAATTTTTCATGTACAGTATAATTAATAAGCAAAAAAATAAGAATTAAATGCGTTACTTACCATGTCATATGATAATTGTAAAGACTCTTCACACTTTTAACTAATAGAAGCAGAATCTATTGGCTAATCATATGATATATGTGAATTCTTTTCTCATTTCCAACTAGGATTTATTGGCTAATAAAGAGTGGATCTACTGATGTATTATCAATCAATCTGCAGGGTAAGAAAGAAAAATCTATCTCTAATAATTTTAACTGACTATATTGTACTGTACATTTCAGGTGATCGGTCCACATGACTGGTCTATGCTACAATTGTGAACTTGAATTTATTGCTTAAAGTATTGTAAATAAGACAATATTCCAATTTATCTTGAGAATAGAACTTTACTAATTTAGGATCATAAGGGAACTGATTTCCATTTTTATAGTATCATGAGTCATGTAATCCATAATTCTCATGTTTTCTATTACGAATAGGATATAGTGAGCTCCATGGCTGAGGTGATGCAAAATTATAATTATCAATCCCTCTGAAACTATTTCAGAATTTCAAGTATATGAAATGCTTTAAGATGGATTTGATAATTAATTCTGGATTAAGTCTGACTTCAAAAGTTATAGGTTCTTTTTCTTCACATTGCTTAAAAGAAGATAAATATACTTTATATTCTGGTTTCGAATTTATGAAACAATCTTCTGATAATTGCTATGGTTTATGTCTAGTTTCTTTTTTATATCTTTTGTATAAATTGAAATGAATCTTATCTGTTAAAATGCTTGGTAATCCACTTAATTTGACATGCCAATCCAGGTATTCAAAAGTTAATATTTTATCAGACTTAGTCATATCTAAATTTTATATAATTGTGAATCAGTTTAAATCCCTTTTATTCTCATATTCATTCGAAAAAAAAAATTAAATTCCCTAATAGAAAGCTTACTAATATTTTTATCATATTTCCAAAAAAATAGTTAGGTCATCTTTCAAAGTATTTATGGTATAAGAAAGAGTAATGAGAATATATTTCACGCTATTCAAATTTAATAAAATAGGATTTGGCTTCATATCTACCTTCTATACCTTTCACATCATCATGATCTAACTTGCATAATGGACATAAAATCTCATTAGTAATTCCATAATAATTAATATTTTTACTACTAAATTCTCTATATAAATTTGGATATTGATCTAATGTTTTGTTGAAAAAATATGCACAGTTATAGGTTGGCTGAGATGCAATTGTCACTTGCATTTCTGATACATCAGTTTTATTAGTTTTTAAAGTCATGTGTCCATTCCAATTTGGAACAGAGTCATCATAATTTATATCATCTGTATTGGTAGCTTTTGGGAGAAAAATCATTTATAATGTTCTGAATCTGATTATCAGATAAATTCAAGATGGCACTTGCACTACAACTAATTATTTGGATTCTATTTATTCTTATCCCATCAAATAATATATAGATTTTTTTAGCTCTGAAAGTTATTTTATGCAAGTTTACATCAATAATATTAGGAAGAAGGGATTTGATTTCGCTGTATACCAATGTTCTTGCTAATTTGTCATCAATACCATTCTTAGACTTAACATTCCTAACTCGATCCTCATACGCCTTATAGTAATAATACTAGTATAAGATCTCCTTTCGTCTGATCTTCATTGCTATAGCAAATAGAACAACTATGTCTTATGATGTAACTTTATTAAATTCTATCAGAATTGCTTCAAAGGAGAATTCAGAAATCTGTATATCAACCACTCTATGAAGTGAATCCTTTACCTTTCATGTAAGCAGATAACTCATCTCTTAAGTCTTGTTCTACTTTCAGATTATAGAAAATTTTTTCACCTTCTCATTACATTCGAAACTAGAAAAAGTATTACATGATTTAGATGATAAACTGTTATTAGAATTTTCTAAAATTTAAGTATTCTTCTTATCTCGCGAAATCTTTAATTGAGAAAAAGAAGAACAATTTTATCTATTCTTTTCATTCAAGAAAATGGCAGAATCTAAAGAAGTTACGAGTGTTTTTGAATCTAAGAAGTTACCTCTGATGACAAATTATCTTGAAGTTTCTTCTCCCGCTTCCTTTACCTAATCTCATTACCAACCTTCTTCTTATATACCACGTTTAAGAATTCATCAGTCTTCCTATTCTCTTTACAAAATAGAGGACTAGTAGACATATTTATCTCTGGTACTATATTATTTATTTTGCTTTTAGTTTACATTGCTCAAGTTGGGTTTGCTAACAAACATTGTGTACATCAGTTATCTCTAGTAATACTTCTGATATCGGTATTTGCTTAAGTAAATAATCATTTATTATCTTATCTTCTGTTGATTTAGTATTAACATTATTTTGCTAGTCTACTACAAATTCAGATACATCAACAGCTGATACGAATATCTCTAATAATCCTTCTAATATCATTTTATTATAATTCTATGGCTATTTATTTATTATCAAGGAAGCCTGTTTCAATAACGCAAGTTTAGCCTCAAGTTCTGTATTTTTTTGCTCTAGTTTTTTGACCCTAATATTATACTGACATTCTTCTTAATAATCTGACTTATATTACGATCTCAGCCTCAAGCTCATAATTCTTGACCCAAGTCTGATATTTTCTTGCTATCTCAGATTCCATCTTTAATAACACTTTTATACAAGCATTCAAAATAAAAAAAGTTACGTATCCATTCCAATTTGAAACGCAGATCTCTTTTGCCAAGAAAATTTTTTTATTAATAGGATTTATGACTATCATATAAGTAGGCACTTGACTTAAGTCAAGGAATTTATTCATTGTTTCTTTCTTTTGAGGCAACGATAAATTTTTTTGACATGCTTAAAGCAATAGCCTGTATAAGATAAAGGTTTATTACATATTCTACAGAGGGTGGACAAAAGTATCTGCACACTTTTTCACTCAATATAAAACTTATAATTTTTTTGCATTAATAATAAATGGTCAATTAATATTTTATTTAAAGCCGATTAAGATCTACATTTTGTACTAAGTAACTAGTATTTAGTTATGCTACAATTTGCTGCAATCACAGCTTGAATTCGTTGTGGCATACTATCGACTGTTTCGATAGTATACTTCGAAATTTCTTACCAAGCT